CGAGATGGACCGAAGGAACTGTGCCATTGTTCTCATTCCTGGGTGGATACGGAATTCCTGCAGTGCTTTCTGTGGGGATGCTATAGAGGATGCGTTTATTAGCTGCTGCCAAACACTGAACAGAAAGAAACAGGCTGGCAGCAGAACTGGAAGGGCTCCCGAAACAAGTTGCACGCTGGAAAGGCTGTCACTCCGGATACTTGGCTTCCAGCGGTGTGGGAGCTGCAGATGCCACTGTCTTGGATGCCAGTATGGGCCCTGGCATGAGACTTCCTGCGTTTCAATCCGCCGTCCTGTGGGGTGTGATTCTTAATCCCTCCACACCTCAGCTGCATCGTCTGTAAAGTGGGAATACTGAGAGAGGCCTTGCCACGGGTCACCGTGGGGGTTGAACTGGCCGATCATCTTGCCCTCAGCATGCTAGCTAGTGGGCACTGATACCAACTGCTAATATCGCTGCCGTCACTGTCTTCTCCATACTTCTAGTGATGTCTTTAGACTCGGCTGTCTTTCCAGTCTTTCAGAATGAAGGAATGGTGCGAAGGTAAGGAACATTAATTCAGCAGGGAGCTCCGGGGAGCTGAGCAGACACATGCTCGGAATAGAAGCTCGTAAGCGCCGTGAGAGAGGGTGTAAAGGAGAGTTTTAACGCAGACACACCCAGCATCATTTTCTAAAGTGGACTTTGGAGGTTCCTTTGGGGGTCCATACAAGAGTTAGACTGTGAGATCTTAGAGTAGGCACTGGATCTGGGAATGGAAAGATGACAGGGGAGTGAGAAAGAGGGGCACACACAGAAGGGACAGTTTGAAAGTGGGGGGTTTTCCCAGGGGTGGAAAGAGCAGTATTGTCTGGATCCAGGGTATGCAGCAAGTCCCACGAAACCCAGGGAAAGGCCGGTGGGATGCTAGAGCAAGCATGCATTCTGTACCATGCACTATTCTGTAAACACCCCCGCCCCGCCCCCCCCCCCCCCAGACGCCACTGTTTCTCTGGATTCTCCTTGTATTTAATGCAGGGAACCAAATAATAGCAAACCCAATATAACACTGACCATCTTCCCGGCTCCCTTCCAAGCACCTTTCATTGTGTCCCTGATTTAACCTTCATGATGGATGAGGCAGGCACTGTTATCCTGAGTCTGCTGACAAGATAGCTTAGGAGCAGCATTGTATGCCATGGAATGTCCCGCACAGGGCTGAACCGAGGGTAAATAATGTGCCCAGAGCCATTGCTATGGTGACTGTGTAATGCAGGTCCTTAAGTTCATACACCGAGCCTCTTTAAATGTCTGATGTCAGTGCTCACGAGGCCTGGCAGCCTCTGTCTCTGCGTGGTTATACAATCTCTTCTCCAGGCTCTGGCTATTTCTCAAGTTCTTATGGTTTCACGTCACCTTTATCCAGTTATCACCCCTCAGATTCACTTGGTCTCCTTCTTTGCTATACTGAAGGTGTTTGCCTTCTTAGTTCTTTTGCTTTCTGTTCTCTGTGCTACCTAGTTCTGTCCAGAATCTAGTCCTGGATCCTCTCCTCTCCTCCCCGCCCCTCTCTTCCCCTCTCCTCTTTTCTCCTCATCCTCTTGTCCTTTCTCTCTTCCCCGCTCTCTTTCTCTCAGCTCCTAGAAACAAAGCCTCACCATGTAGCTCAAACTGGCCTTAGCCTCCATTCTGACACGAGCCCTCAGTGCTGGGGTTACAAGTGCACCACCATGTCCAGCTTCAAATTCATCTCTTTATAGAATATCCCCCATGTCACTCTGTTTTAGAGATGTTAAAATATTTTAAAATTCCATAATAGCAGCACAAGAAATGACTCAGTGGATAAAGGCTCTTGCCACCAAACTCGGTGACCTGAGTTCGATCCCTGGCACCTACATGGTGGGGAGAGGGAATTGACTCTTGAAAATTATACTTTGATCTCTACATAGGACACTGCACACGCACACACAGCTAATCTGCCCACAAAAATAAATAAATGTAATAAAAAGTGTGCAAAACCATATTGTCTTAGTCAAAGTTCTGTTGCCCTGAAGAGACACCATGACCATGGCAACTCAAATAAAAGAAAATATTTAGCTGGGGCTGGGTTGCAGTTCAGAGATTTAGATCACTGACATCATGGAAATTAGCCTGATGTCATGGTGCTGGAGAGAAGCTGAGAGTTCTACATCATGATGCATAGACAGCAAAGAGAGAGAGGAAAGAGAGAGAGAGAGAGAGCACTCCACTGAGCCTAGCTTTAACTTCTGAGACCTCAAAGCCCACCCCCTAGTGACATAATTTCTCCAGTAAGGCCACACCTACTACAACAAGGCCCCATCATGAATATTTTCGAATAATACCACTCCCTGTGAGCCTATGGCAACCATTTTCATTCAAATTGTTACAAATATATTTATTATTTTCTTTAATTTTATAATTTGTTACTTATTATATAATTCATTCATCACTACACCTGCGCCTGCCACTTTCTGAATGTTACTGGGCAATAGGGTAGTGAGTGAATTTCACCTGCAGAAACCTTAATATCTGTTCCAGGAAAAAGACATAAAACAAGCAATCATTACTCTGAAATGTGCTTTACAACAGCAGTATGTTAAATTGAGGACCGGTTTAGAGGAAGGAACGGCAGGTCTCTGGAGCAGTGAGGACAGTTTTCATAGTGAGAATTTAACCCTCCTTTCTGGGTACTGAACAATGACGAGTGGCTTCCTAGGTGAAATCTAGGGACAAAACTGTGTGGAAGAACATTCTAGCACAGGAGAATGGTGGTCAGGACCTGTGCGTGATTTGGAAGGGAAATATGTTTGTTATTAAACTTAATAACGTGAGTTCAACCCTCAGGACTCATATGGTGTGCTGTGGGACAAGAGTCTGTACTCTGTCACTTGTATTTTAAATAGACGCTGATTGGCCAGTAGCCAGGCAGGAAGTATAGGTGGGGTGACCAAGCAAGAAGTAGAGATGGGGCAACACGAATTCTAGGAAGAGGGAAGTTTCAGTCTGCTGTTGTCACCCAGACAGAGAGGAAGCCAGACACAGAGCAAGCAAGATGTGTCTGCCTCACCGAGAAAGGTACCAAACCACATGGCTAACACAGACAAAAGTTATGGGCTAATATCAGTTATAAGAATTAATAAGAAGCCTGAGATACTAGGCCAATCAGTTTATAATTAATGGAGACCTCTGTGTGATTTCTTTGGGACTTAACGACTGCGGGAACCGAACAGGACAGAAACCTCAATCAACAATGGTGGAAAGAGATAACTTCCACAAGGTGTCTTCTGACACCCACTCGTGTGACACATCAAGTGTTCATTCACACACACACACACACACACACACACACACACACACACACACTCACTCATATACAAAATCAAACCCCAGTTTGAAAGTTTTAGAAAAGAATGTGAAGATGCATTGATCTGACACGCCATACCTGGTAACAGCATGAGATCCAGTATTGAGTAAAGCATTCATTTATATCTTCTGTTCAATTGTCATATATTTATACCGTGTTCCAGCCAGTGATAAGTGTCCTTTGCCTAGTGGACTTTAAATACGAATCCCGAGACTGCTCCTGGTAGTCAATTTCTTAGTCAGGGAACACGTGGACTAATGAGCCCAGATGTGATCAAGTTGAGTTTTGTCTTTTCCTAGACCAGGGAAGCTCTCGTCACAATTCTCAATGACCTCCGACCTCAGGATCATTTCAATATCATTGGGTTTTCCAACCGGATTAAAGCATGGAAGGACCACTTGCTGCCCGTGACTCCGGAAAACATCAGGAATGGCAAACTCTACATTTACCACTTGTCACCTACTGGAGGTAAGAGCGATTCCTCCCAGCCTTCCTACCCAGCTTTGACAGGATCATAGGTTTGTTTTCTGCAGAGAAACAAGGCTTTGAGAGTTGAAGCTGATACTAACAAATAAAGCAATGATAACAATATTCTCAGGTGCCTATATTTCTTCAAGTTTGTAAATTCTCAACCCCTAGACCTTCAGCCAAGTTATAATTGGAAAAATTCATCCCCAATTTGGATCCTGAATAAGGCAACTGGTCTTGGTAAATTGTTCTTAATTGGAGAATATTTTAGGTTTATTGTTAATCTACTTGTGTGCACCTGTTTCTATAAATTGATGACATCTTTGTGAAAGTGTCTTGGAAACCAGAAGAGGGCCTCAGATCCCCTGGAGCTGACATTACAGGTTGTGAGCCACTTGATGTGACTTCTGGGAACTGAACTTGGATCTTCTGGAAGAACAGGAAGTGATCTTAAATGCTGAGTCATCTCTCCCTAGGATGGAGAATTGAAGCTAAGTGTACGATCCAATGTTTTCTATGTACTCGAGCAGCGGCAGATGAAACTTCCCTGTAAAACGAGCTATGCTCTTGCCCGAGCTGCAGCATGGTAAGGGAGCATGAGCCTCAGATACCCTGAGCTGTGCTGTGGATCTAGAGTGGAAGGAGAAGAGAGCTGGTCTCCAGGTCACTGCACATACACCTTGAGTGTGGTGTCTGCTGTGTGTGTAGAAGGTTAGGACAGGGCATGAAGACAGCGAACTTTTGAAGACTCCAGAACCAGGCACTCTGCTGCCCACTGTGCTGTACGTGATTCCTGTCTTTAAGAGAAAAACACCTTAAATTTATTATTATTGGGGGCAGAGCATGTGTGTAACATGGCAGTCACACAGCAGTCAGAGGATGTGAGGGCAGAGCATGCATGTAACATGGCGGTCACACGCAGTCAAAGGATATCTTTGCATTTGACTCTCTCCTTCAGCCTGTATGTGGGTTCCAGGACCTGAACTCAACTTGTCAGACTTGCTCAGCAGATGCCATTACTTGATGAGCCTTCTCATCAGCCCCCATCTGACCCTTTCTCAAAGGCAGATACGCTATCTTGTGGAGTTCTCACATCTATTAATTCTACTTTCAGTATATGGAAACAGGATGCAAAACACTCAGGCCAGCCTTTCTCCATCTGAAGATTTCCATTTCCTCATAGTCATTTTCCATCCAGTTATTGGAACTGTTTTATCATTGGACAGGGGAAATTAAATATTAGATTTAATGTCATAGCTATTATCTATAGCAGAAATTGACAAGACTGTGAAGTCCTTCCTCTTTGTAGTCCCTAAGTCCTAACATGCTTCTTAACACACGATGCATGTTCAGTGCTTATCTGCTAATTTGACTTACACTAATGGTATTGCTTACTATTAGAATGGTGTGTTCACCGAGAGGCAATACACATCTTTAGAAAATAGCTAATATGTATTATATTCATTTGGAACCCAAACCTAAGAATCCATATTTGTTTTCTCTCTATATTTCTTTCTCTTTCTTTCTTCCTTTCTTTCGTTCTTTCTTCTCTTTCTTTCTTTTTTCTTTTTATGTCTTTATTCCTCTCTCCCCTCTCTCTCTTATATGTATTTGTGTATAACTATGAATTTATGTGCACCTCATGTGTGCAAGTGCCCATGTGGTCCAGAGGAGGGCAATGTTCCCTGGATCAGTTGTGAGCTGCCTGATTCTGGGTCCTCCGCAAAAGCAGTAAGAGCTCTTAACCACTAAGCTATCTCTCATTTATTTTTTTTCTTGACACTTCATTGCCCAGCCCTTTGCTGGAGCACATCAGAGGACTCTGCATTCTCTATGAAATGTACTTTCAAGGTTGGAGCACGGCTCCTGAAGCTTGATCTCCTGGCTTTGAATCCTGCTCCACCATCTATTAGCCATTTGCCCCTTTCCTCATCCTAAAATGAGAGGGTGGCAAGAACCTGGCTATCGGAGCAGAATAGTTTAACTCTTTCACATGTGTTGAAGGACCCTAGCAGATAAGGGTCCTTCTCCTTAAGTGTCAGGTGTGGTCTTGATTTTTATCCAACTGAGTAGTCCCCTTTCTGGTCCCTGGGCATCCAGTGAGATCTCAGAGGATTAGTTGGGCAACTCTATTTGTTGAGAGGACCCAATGCCGGTGAGTGGACAGAAGATTCCATGCCTCAGCACAGCCTTGATTCTGAGCCCTGATAGGCCTTTGCTACATGCATGTGACAGTACATTCAGAAATAGAAGGTGACTGCAAAGCCATGAGCTGTCCTGTGTTGTGTTCTCCAGGCACAGACATCAACGGGGCCCTGCAGAAGGCCATCAAACTGCTCAACAATTACGTGGCCCAGAACGACATTGAAGATCGGAGCGTGTCCCTCATCGTCTTCCTCACGGATGGGAAACCCACCTTCGGAGAGACCAATACCATGAAGATTCTGAGCAACACCAAGGAAGCCACTGGAGGTCAGATCTGCATCTTCACCATCGGCATTGGCAATGACGTGGACTTCAAACTGTTGGAGAAACTCTCGCTGGAGAACTGTGGTCTTACACGACGCGTTCATGAGGAGGAGAAGGCAGGAGCGCAACTCATTGGGTCTGTTGTCTGTCTTCTCGTAACCAGAGGCTGGGGCGGGGCCTGAGGATAGACGCAGTGAGAATCCAGAGCTGAAGATAATGTTGTAACCAGAGACCGGGGCAGGGGCTGAGTGTAGATGCAGTAAGGAACCAGAGCGAAGGATAACGTTGTAATCAGAGGTTGAGGAGGTCTTTTTCTGGGTCTTATCCTCACATTTGCTGGAAATGAAGACAGTTCACTGCATTGAGGAATATTGCAGTGTGTTTTGATCTCATTTTAAAAAAATTATTTGCTTTGTGGCACTAATAATTGAGCATAGGGTCTTGTGTATGCTAAATAAGCAATTCACTCACTGGTGAGGTAACCTTTCTGCTATTTTAGTTTGAGATGTGGGTCTTGCTAAATTCCTCATATGGCCTTGACCTTGTGACCTTCCTGTCTCAGCCCCTACAGTAGCCAGGGATTACCTGAGTGTACCACCCTGCCTGTTTCATAATGTGCTTTGAAACCAGTCTGATTTGAGTTTAATATGTGACTTTAGGTAGGTTTTTAAGACTGTCAGTGCCTCAGTTTCCTCTTCTGAAACGTGGTGGTTATAACTGATAGTTGTTTAATGGGAAAAATTAAAAGTTTTGGAACAGTGACTATTGCACATTAATGACCATGTGGGGTTATAGTGTGTATATATATATACTATAGTTTGATAGTTTAAATATACTATGGCTTGATAGTTTAAATAACTGGTGAAATGATGTTATAATTTGAAGTAAAATGATCAATTAAAACTGATGAAAACTCAAAACTTTCTTTTGTGGACAAAAGGTGGTAGAAAAATCTAGAATTTAGATTTCCTAAGACAGAATTACCTTGCCTGAAGTAGCACGTTGTTGATCATGGCATATGATTTTTTTTGTTGGTTGAATTAAGTGCTGTCTTCAGGTTCAGCACAACATAACTCAAGCTTCAGTGTGCAAATATGGGATCTATTTCAAAGGAAAAGCCCGCTTTATCTAGATTTTGGTAGCCACAATCAAAGAAATTTATGACTCGTAAGTTTGACTGGCAGTCTCTGAGCTATGCAATCAACACAGGTGGTTGCTAAGGGACCGGCCACCATTTTTCTCCTAGGATTTCAATGAAAGAGTTAAGTGAGCACACAGATCTGCTTCCTACATCATAAAAAAATTATTAAAAACCAGATTCAAAGAGAGAAAACTTCCTGCGCCATAGAACAAAAATCAGGAGGTCACAAGGAAAAGCAATTCCATCAAAACCATTAGCTACACGCCATCCTGCTGGAAAAGCCATCTGTACCTTGCATTTCCCGAGAACTTAAAACAAACCCAATTTTTTAATATATCCATCATCTCGAGCTGGAGAGATGGCTCAGTGGTTAAGAGCATTGCCTGCTCTTCCAAAAGTCCTGAGTTCAATTCCCAGCAACCACATGGTGGCTCACAACCATCTGTAATGAGACCTGGTGCCCTCTTCAGGCCTGCACATAGACAGAATATTGTATACATAATAAATAAATAGATATTAAAAAATATATCCATCATCTCCTATGATCCTCACAGATCTCTAGAAGATAAGTAGGTAAGGTAGAAGTTACGATGCCTACAGATACCTCTGGCTGTCAAGGCTTGCTAAGTGGTTAATTTAACGCTCCTTTAAGAGTTGATGCAGGCTAGCCTCTACTCCAGATAGTCATTCTGGGGCCCAGGATGTGCCTCACCCTGTGCCTCACTTCCTTAGAAGTTACCCTTATCTGCAAGTTGAACTAAGTCTATGCCATTTCTGATTTTTTTGTCCCAACAAGAATAAAACCCACAAAAGTGAGCCCAAGCTATCTTCCTGGATGCCAGTGTCTTGGAAGATGCACATACAATTCCTAGCTCTTGTTCATGGGTGAAAGTGTGACCTCAGGGCCATAACCATCCAGAACAGAATCTGGGGACTTTCCTTTGTAGGTCAATGTACATGTGCCTGGTTAGAAAACTACCATTTAAAAAGGAGAGGATAGTCTTGGGAAGACAGCTAGTAGCTGTGAAAGGGATACTGTTAACTTCGCAGTCCTACCGGTGACATTGGGGGAAATGAGGCCACATGTCCTAAGACAGGGCAGTGGGGACAGCCCCCACAGCCTTCACTGTCTAGGTCGTTGAAAAGGGAGTGTCAGTCTGTCATTCCTGGCCCACAGGAAATGCTAATGGATACATGCTGTGTCCCTCAAACGCTCTTAGAGTCAAGACACGAGTTCCCAAGATTGACGTGCTGCCCCAAGTACCTTCGTAACATGCATTCAAATTCAAGAAACAAATTATGTGTAGACCTTGGAGAAACTTAGGTGTGTAGAAAGGAAATATAGCAAATGTTTTGAGGAATTTTGAAGTTGTACCCCAGGAAGACTATTTCAAGAAACCAAAGGTTGAAGTAGGCAGTGGGAGATTTTGATTAATTCCAAGGGGGCTGCTGTCCCAGGAAGCTTTGTGAAGGAGCGAAGGCTCACTCATTAGAGGGACTCAAGTGACTGCTACGCCATCTGCTATCAGAATCCTGCGCTAAGTGTAGTGCAGGGGACAATCCCGTGCATAGTAGACCCACACCCTCTGCAAGCCTGATTTCCTCCTGGAAAGACCGCCCTAGCCCAGCCAGGTCCTGATCCTCTCCGTCCTTCCTCTGCAGGTTCTATGATGAGATTCGGACCCCGCTCCTCTCTGACATCCGCGTCGATTATCCCCCTGACGTAGTGGAGCACGCCACCAGAACCCTGTTTCCCAACTACTTTAATGGCTCCGAGATCATCATTGCTGGGAAGATGGTAGACAGGAAGTTTGATCAGTTCCACGTGGAGGTCACTGCAAGCAACAGTAAGAAATTTGTCATCCTGAAAAAAGACATCCCCGTGGAGTCTCAAAAGCTGGGGAATGACGTCACAGTGACCCCTGGGCCTCCCAGCGATGGTGGGAAGGACCCCAACCACGTCGAGCGTCTTTGGAGCTACCTCACTGTGAAGGAACTGCTGAGCTCCTGGGTGCAGAGCAGCAGCGAGCAAGAGAAAGAGCAGCTGAGGCAGAAGGCCCAGGCTTTAGCCTTGAGTTACCACTTCCTGACCCCCTTCACCTCCATGAAGCTGAAGAAGCCAGGCCTCCACACAGGCGGGCTGGAGGAGAGCCGCGGCATGTCTGCAGCCACAGGCCCTGAGACGGTGGTGCAGAGCCTGCGAGGAGCCGACGTGCAGCCAGGTAGCACGGCCTCAGGGGTGGCCGGTGTGTGAGTGCGAATTCCTTGTAAGGCCAAGGAAACCTCAGATGAAGTCTGTTTTCTGTTCTCATCTTGAAGTTTTTATAAACGATGACCATATAGGAAGTGCACACTCACCAGATGCCCTCTCAAATAGCTAGACTCGTCATAAAGCGTAGCTCAGAAGAGCCGTGAAAAGAATGGCAGGAAGCTGAGAAATGTTGCCCACTGATGTCAGCGCATCAGGCTCAGAGAGAAGGGGCAGTGAGTTCGAGCTCAGCCTGGGCTATGTAGTCAGATTCTGTCTCAACAAAATAGAAACAAATACTGCGTACACATTAAAAAGAAAAAAAAAAACACGTGGACACTTGCCATTTGATGCCAGCTGACAGAGTCCTTAGTGACAGGAGAGAGTTTGAACCGAAGCCCAGGGTTGCATCGTTACTACCGCCAGCATGTGGAAAGCGGTCTGGCTTTTCATGTATAACGCTTTTTATTGTTCCTGTCAAATGTTCATCTCTTAGAGAGGAGGCAGAAGTTAACCAGGCCCTCCCAGAATCCCACAAGTGCTGGCTAATTTATTTCTCACGTTAAGCTCTGAGAAACATTCAATGGCAGAGAGAACATGAAGTTAGGATCCCTGGACCCTCCCGCGCAGCTGTGAAATCCGGAACACTGGTGGACCTCCCCGCGAGTACAGTTGCTTGCCTAGAAGTGGGGATAATAAGTTCCATAAAGGTCCATTGCCAGGACTGACTATTCAGCCAGAGTCCTTTGGCGAAGAAGGAGTGTTCTAGTACTTTTAGCAGTCTCTCTCTCTCCCCTGGGGTGTGTAGTTCTCGATATGAATTGAGGATCTCATGTCCGCATGTGCAAGCTTCTTCCTGTGTCAGATGCAGATTCTGCTGGCAAAGTTAGTGGTTCTTCATTCGGATTTACTTAGTCAAAATGTTACTTTGTTTATTTATTTTATTGCATTCATTTATTGCGTGTGTGTGCTCCTGTGGGATGGTGGTTCACGGAACACAAGGAGAGGTCGGAGGAAAGCATGAGGGAGTTGGGTTTTCCCCTCTATCCTGTGGGTCTCAGGAATTGAAATTAGGTTGTCAGGCTCGGTGATAACGTGAGTGCCTTTACCCGCCGAGTCATCTCGCTGGCTCTAGATTATGTGCAGAGGGTCTTCTAAATTCTTACTTTCATTTTTGTCTCATTGTTTGATATAGGGTTTAGCTATGGAGCCCAGGCTAGCCTGGAATTTGTGATCTTTGCCTTTTTTTTGATTCTTACAGTTATTACAAACATATCTGAAACCTGTTACGGGCTTCTCATCTCCAGCTGCTGTTCTCTGTGCCTCTCCACACATCTCTAACACATAACAACTCTTCTTTTCTGTGTCTTTTTCAGGACCTGCTCTCAAGAAATCATACAGCCCGAGAATTAAAATCACTAAAACATCAGGTAAGATGAGTAAGGAATTCTGGGGATTCTCTGAAGCCAGCACAAACAGGAGCTCACAGAATGTATCCCCACAACCTGTTCATTCAGCAGCATGAGGCACATGAAGGAGAACCAACACAAGTCATTCTGTGAACACCACAGAGATGACCCAAGAGAGGAGATAGAGAGCGGAGGCTTCTTTTGCTCATTGTCGGGTTTAAAGGACCCTGGGTTTAGAGAGCTGAAGTATGTGTCCAGCCTCTGCTGTCCCAAGATAAAAATGGTGTTCCAAAAATAAAGATATCTGGCTGTATAGGCAGAGTTTTTTTTTTAATTTTTTTTTTTTGCTGTTTTTGAATCCTTGCCTTTGAAGGGAAGCACAGACTGAAGACATAGTAAAATTTCTTTTTTGGCAGCATCTTCCGAGAATATAATATAGTAAGAATCTGGATGGAAGAATGTCTGGGCTTTATTCTCCCAATGGCCAGACGTGCATGTTCACACAGCCAGGGACACCACAGTGATTAGCCGTGGGCCTAGAAGCACGAAGTGTCCCATGGAGAGAATGCACTTTCTAAAGCGCAGATGTGCTGTGGAATGCAAGTCATCCTTTCTCTGGGACGCTGCCTGCGGTGATGATTGCTGGACTCCTCCACACACTGCTGGAACAAGCAACATCTTCCCTTGTACAGGATCTGGGTGGAAATGATGTTTTCAGTGTGGTAGACACTGCCAGACAAAGGGCAGGCAAGCTATGTCCATACAACCTGTGCCAAAGGCAGCAAGAAAGACCTCTCCTTTAGATATTTTGTTTCCACCATCAAGGCAGAGACCTTGTGTTCTCCAACACCACCCCTATATGTTTGTGTGTGTGTGTGTGTGTGTGTGTGTGTGTATGTGTGTGTGTGTGGGGTGCACATGTGTGTGGCTGTCAGAGGAAAGCCTCCAGACTCATTTCTCAGGTACCTTCCCCCTTTCATATGAGACAGGATCTCCCCTGATTCAGGACTTCAGGTAGGGAAAGTAGTTGATGTCTAACTTACAGGGATCCACCTCTCTCACCGTCATCCAGATTAAAAAGCACAGGCTACCACACCTGGCTTTTTACAGGCTTTCTAGGGATTGAACTCAGGCCCCTAGACTTGGGAGGCAACAGCCTGTACTAACTAAGCTCCAGCCTCACCTTGTATTTCTTTATGTTCCATTCACGTGAGGCTTGAGGCTTGTCACATTGAGAGATATGGGATTCTCTGTCTTTCCTAAGAGACAGTCCTGGAGGAAAGGGGGATCAGCAGTCACAGGGAAGATGTGAATTTCCTTGCAGCTTGAAAAGAGTGAACTCCTCCAGACACACAGTTCCAACCCACACCCTCCCCCTCCAGCATGCCCACATATTCACACCGAGCAGAGAGGTGTTCCCAATCACATGGTCTTATGTATAAGTCAGAGAGAAACTGAATTTTCTATGAAATAAGAGAAGACGAAGGGTGTTAACTCTCAGGAGGGTCTGCTGAGGAAGAGGTAACACTGTGTATTTCTAGCAGAGATAGAAACCGGAAGAGACAAAGAATAAGGCTGAGACTTATACCATCAGTGTGACCCAAAAGAGAGACTTCTGCCATCATCACTGATGGTACCGTATGGCCTTCTAGTGATTTTCACACTCTTCCTGGCACTGCTTTGGGTTCCACTGTGAGTGCCAAGTGTTACCAGCAGCCCACACTATATGGTTAATGAGACTGTGTAGCGGGAGTGTCCAACCTGTTGACATTGTGACATGATGTGCGGTCTACAGAATTTACAGCTTCACAGTCTAGCACTAACAGGTGGGTTACTAAAAGGGAAAAAACGTCCACAATGAGGTTGGGGAGCTGGCTTAGTGGGGAAGAGCACTTATTGTGCAAGTCTAAGGAGCCGAGTTTGAATCCCAGCAGCTGTGTCAAAATCCAGATGTGGCCACACTATACCTGTGATGTCTAGTGCCATGGGCACAGAAACAGGGAAATTTGGGTATACACACTCAAAAACTCCATAATAATTTAAGTAAGTTTAAATTTTGTGTTGGGCTGACTCATACCTATCCTCAGGGTGAGGATTTGATGTCCAGACTTCCTCAGTAAAAGATTATTTCCCCTGGCACTCTTGGCATAGATGAGACAGGATCTCCACTTGTTCAGTCTTTTAAGATGTATTTATTCTTATTTTGTGAGTTTGAGCATTCTGCCTGTATGTCTGTGTACTGCACGCAGGCTGTGCCCACAGAGACCAGGGCAGGATGTCTGGTTCCCTGGAACAGGAGTTGTAGATGGTGGTGAACCTCCATGTGGGTGCTGGGAACTGGCCTGAATCAATCCTCTGCAAGCCTGCCACTGCTCTGAGCCACCGAGCCGTCTCTTCAGCTCTGGTGCGTCATTCCTCACTGAGGCAGTTAAGGCACAAGGGAAACGATATGCATATACCCGTGGGAAATCAGACTCAGCAGCACTTGAAAATGTGTAAATCATCTCCCTTCTCGTTTCTCATCATCTTACCTCTCAAGGCTTAGCTGTCTTAGATATGATGGAAACACTATTTCATCCGAATTCAGGAGACTAGGAGTCAGTCTGCCCTCACCATGTACAAGCTGCATAACTTTGCGGGCATTATTACACTTCTGTGTATTTTCCTTATTTAGAACTGAGAATACTATTCTTTCAGCGTTCTGGTTATGATTAAAGAAATGATCCATCTGATAACATAAAGTAGTATTTATTCAAAACATGTTTTTTTCTTTTCTTTTTCTCTTGCTCCCGGTAGTGGATGGTGATCCCCATTTTGTTGTGGATTTTCCCTTAAGCAAACTCACTGTCTGCTTTAACATTGACGGAGAGCCTGGGGACATCCTACGGTTGGTCTCTGATCACCTGGACTCTGGTAAGTACTCCTTTCCCTTGTGGTACCTAGGCAAAGTCTGGGGATGGGGCATTTCATTCTCTGTGCTGAAGGTGAATGGCCAATTATAGAAGAAAGATATCCTGGATGCTCAGCATATACCGATTGATAAGGGAACTGTACAAAGTTTCTGGGCACATAAGCAAACCCTTACTTTATACCCCCAGTGTGGTCTTGGGCCTGCACCTTTGCAGCTGTAGTGGCCATTATGTGAAATGGAGGTTGTAATGTTCTGGCTCATGGCTATTACATAGTAGATTTTTTTTGAATCATGGGTAGGAACACTCAAGTGCTACAGTAATTTATCACACCTTACTGTCATTATGTCTGTCCACTCAGAAGCTGTGGTGGTAGGGAGGTCATAGTCCCTGAAGACTTCTGTTGAAAGCCCAAAGAGTAAATACACAGCTCATGAATATATGTGAACAGAGATTTGGCTACCTTAAGTCTCTTGAGAGACGAAGCATATGAAATGAGCATAGGAAGTGCTTTCTGAGCACAATGCGGGTGACATGGCTTGGGGAGAGCAATACAGCACAGGTGTCATTGCTTGGGGACAGCCATGTGGACAATACAGCACAGCACAGTGAGGACTAACTTGGGCACACGCCTTCCAGTATTGCTAGGTACTCAGTCAGTATAACCCACAGGTGGCATTTGCGATGGAATTACGTGAAGGTTGCTCCCCCGATCTCCTTTATCAGATGGTTTTCTTGCAGGCTGTCCTCACTTCACTTCAGTTTCTGGGCTAAAACACCCTGAACAAAGTGACCTGGGGAGCAAGGGCTGATTTTATCTCGTAATCCCAGGTTATACGTCATTACTGTGAGGAATGAAAAGAGGCAGGAACTAAAAGAAGCTAGTCATGGCACAGCCACAGTCAAGAACAGAAAATTATCCCGCTCTTACACAGTTCGGGACCCTCTGCCTAGGGGATGGTGCTGCTCACAGTAGACTGGGCCTTCCTTTGTCAATCAACTGAAGACAGCATTCTGCAGACATGCCCCAATGTAGACAATCTGTCCTGGAGAGTCTCTTCCCAGGGTTCCAGGTTGTGTCCGCTTGACAAGGTTCTCTATCACATATCTCCTTCTAACCTCAAAGTTAAATCTCTAATACTTTTCTAGAAAGGCAGCTGGCATTGAGTCAGTGATCTAACCATATCCCTCCCTGGAGACACTCCTTCTAAAGAGCTTAATAAGATTTGACTGTGTAACATCCTTTGTGTTTTGAATGCTTTGTCTTCAAATGACAGCACTGTTTGGGGGAAACTATCGAACTCAGGAGACAGGGCTTATTTGGAGGAAGTAAGTCACTGTTACTATTGTGTCCCTGGGAAGGGACACGTATGTTTTACGTGGCTCCTTGCTATTATGCTATCTGCTTCCTGGTCCCAACCCCCATTTAGATTCTCTGCCACACAGTCCCACTACCATGGAGAGCACTGCCTCACATGCCTTTTGTACCATAGAGAACTGAAATCCCTCTGAAGCCGTGAACCAAAATAAACCACTCTTATTCCTTAGAAACCATTCTGATTTCACTCAGATGTTTGCCACAGCAGCAAAAGAAGCTCTTTTCTGGTTTTTGTATTCACAATGGTGTCTAAGACATGAAGTCAGTTTTCAGGTATTAGACCTTGAGGCCCAAGATCAGGGTTCCTACTCAGGCTGGGATTTCTCACAACTTTGCTGCATCAAAGAGACTTTTGTCATTGGGTAGCTAAGGAGTTTCCGAGATTTATTGAAGACTGTCTAAAAGCAAAAAAAAAAAAAAAAATAGAATTAATTATGTACCAGCCTTTTATTAGTGGAAGTTACTTTTCCTGAAATCAAAACATACAACATGTATCAAACTCATTTCTAAACACCCCATGTGCAACAGCATCTGTTCACTGTGCAGTGGCACCGCACTGAATGCTGGGATCCAGCTCCCAGGTCTCATGGAGGCTGGAAAGGCGCAGTTGTGCTTGTGATGTAGTAAACAGAGAGGAAGTTGCACTCAGGGGCAGTTAATGGCTTTCACACAAGCCTCTTTCTGTGATACCGCCTCCCAATTCTCCTAGGTTTTATACTCCTCCCACATTTTATAAGACAAAAACCTTCAGATTCACATTTTAGCTGACTTTTCCAAGGGTAAATTCATATTAGGTAGAAGAAAGTGGCCTTCTGAATTAAAAAAAGGCATCTGCACTTTGAATCCTTCTCAGGGACATCAAAGGATCTAAATTATGATTATTGACAGCTTGTAGACACAGTGTCCATCAGAATGACACCAGCAGACACTGGAATGTCACAAGAATGAAAGTGCATGAAGATATTCATCACTTTCTATGACAGTTTGACCCAAACCTACATCTCCCTTCCTATTTCCTATATTTAAGCATGGAAGGAAACACATTCATGGCTTTTCTCATTCACTCACTCACTCAGCAACCACTAAGCGGCCCATAGGTATAGTCCAGACAATAGTCTTGGTGATAAATAGGAAGATAAGAAAGGTAGAAAGACATTCATTAGATACTGCCAATGGCTTTCTGTATCAATAACAAAATATGTGACATCAAAAACTTAAGGGAGAAGGATTTATTTTGGGTCCTGGCTTCAGAGTTCATAACTTGGTTCCATCAATTCTGGGCCCACAGTGAGGCAAAGAATGATGTTAGTAGAAGAATGAGACAGAGGGGGCTCACATCATGGCTGACAGTAAGTAGAGAGTCAGAGAAACAATAGGGTGACACAAGATACTCCCAAGGATTCATCTCCCAAGTACCCTCTTCCCTCCAAGTGACCCCTACCTCCTAATTTCCATGACCTCCTAAAATAGAACCATGACTTGAGAGATTAGTCCATGGCACGTGCCTCTGGAGAGGCAGTTCAAACACAAACCATAACAGATGCCTTTAGCCAGGAAATGGGCATGACTTTTCTAACCACTGTGCTCTTCTTGGCCTTTGAGGTGTGACTGTGAATGGAGAGCTTATTGGGGCCCCAGCGCCTCCAAATGGTCACAAGAAACAGCGCACATACTTCCGGACCATCACCATCCTCATCAACCGGCCAGAGAGATCTTACCTTGAGATCACACCGAACAGGATCATCCTGGATGGTGGAGACAGGCTGGTCCTCCCCTGCAACCAGAGTGTGGTGGTAGGGAGCCGGGGCCTGGAGGTGTCGGTGTCTGCCAATGCCAATGTCACTGTCACCATCCAGGGTACCATTGCCTTCGTCATCCTCATTCACCTCTACAAAAAGCCAGCGCCCTTCCAGCGAAACCACTTGGGCTTCTATATTGCCAATAGCAAAGGACTTTCCAACAATTGCCATGGCCTATTAGGTAGGTGACTGCACATCTCAGTCTGTAATCGGAGGATAGAACTGGGTTCCTGGAAGGGCATTCATGTGACCAATATAATGAACTTGACAGAAAATTACAGCAGGAGTGTGGTCCTTCTGTGTTAAGTTACCCTTCAGCATCTTCTGGTACTGTAGTTCCAGGATCTCTCAAGAGACTAAACTCTAAGGATGCTTGATAGTCCCTTGTATAAAACATGCAGCATTTGTGTTAAACCTACTAACATTCCTCTCTCCGTTTTAAATAACTTCCGGATTACTTACCATGCCCAAAGCACTATTAGTCCTATGCAAGCGGTTGCTGGACTGCACTGTTTATGGGATAATGACAGGAAGGAAGTCCATACGTTCAGTACCAGTGTATGTTCTCCATATACAGTAAATCTGCCTTGGCAAAGATGCCAGAACTTCACATGCAAAAAGCCCGACTTCATATATCATGGGAAAATTAGGTTACTTTTTGTATGTATGTGTTCATGTATGTGTTGGCTACGTGTACATATGGGGGTCAGAGGACAAATCTGGGTATCGTTCCTCAGATGTCTTCCACTTTTTATCTGAGGCAGGGCCTCTCACCAGCCTACAACTTCTGTGTAGCTATAGACTAGTTGGCTCATGCTATTCCAGAGATTCTCTTGTCTCCGCCCCACACCCAGCCATCTCTGGAATTTACAACCATATGCCACCATGCTCACCTTTATGATGTTCTCCAGAGACCAAACTAAGATCCTCAAGCTTGTGAAGCCAGAACGTTGCTGACTGAGCCATCTCCCCAGCCCTGAGAAGTGTATTTCTTGTTTCATGGGTCTTATAAACCAGTTCTCACTGGACTTCCGAGAACTCGAAGAGATGGGAGCAGTCCTCCAAAGAGCTGGTTTCTTGCCATTCTGCAAGAAGACGCAGATCCAGGGCAGTCCAGCCCTAAGCACGAGAGGCAGATGCCTTTCCCAGGAGTCATCTGTGTTGTTGTGAGCAGCGGGCAGGCCATGCTGGCCGGCCTTCCTCAACGTGCAATCTCACGTGGCCCTCTGCCCAAAACTAAAGACTGAGTCATTTTCAGAGCTCGGTTTAGAAGGCAGGATTTCCTGGCACTTGAGTTGGTGTGTTTCATTGTGTTTGGCTGCCAAGCATAAGCACTGTCTCACAGATGCAGATCCACGTTCCCTTGGCCGGAGCAATGCCCTCGCTTGACCTGGAAAATTCTGAGGCTGAGTGTCAGGGCCGATCTGAGCTGACTGCTTCCACTACTCTACCCCAGTACATGGCAGCGAGGGGATGGTGTGAGGGGGATCTGATACCAAGGAAAGGAGAGGAAAGACATGGCCCTGTGCCCTACTTACCAGCTATGGTTCTGGTATATGGTAATTGGTTCCCAATTTAGCCGAGATTGCTCTAACTCCATTTGTTGGCTCAGCCTTAGCAACTGGGCAGTTTCCAGACGGGGCAGACCGTGATGAGGAGAACCTCACTCTCTCCTCCCTACATAGTCTGGTACACAGGCTTTGTTACAGCCTGGGTAATAAATGAGTGCGGGGAGGGTGTGGGGTAAGCCTAGGACAGTGGTCCATGAAAAATCCTCCTGCCCCTGATACCAACGCTAGGTAGCAGCTGCTGTCTGTATTCAGCTTATGTCCGTTTTTTTCTCTCGCTCAGGTCAGTTCCTGAACCAGGATGCCAAACTTATAGAAGCTCCTGCAGTGTCTGGCAAGAATCTCAGTAATCAGCCATTTCCACCAGCAGAAGGGGTGCCTGAGGCTATCCTAAACGTGAAGGGGCGCCGAGTGCCAGTGGTTTGGAAACAAAGGAAGATTTATAATGGGCAAGAGCAGGTAGACTGCTGGTTTGACAGAAACAACGCCGCCAAGCTGATTGACGGGGTGTATAAGGACTACTTGGCCTCTCACCCATTTGACACGGAGAATACACTGGGCCTGAGAAAGTCCCTGAGAGCTGAGACTGGCAGTCTTCTTGAGGAGAGAGTCTAACAGGGAAGTGACTTTGGGTCTACTCTGGATGCAGCTTGCCTAGTTACCTGCACCTGCCTTAGCTCTTGCTATGAGCCGCACTCTGTAGCCTGCCCCCTGGTGGAGTGGAGGTCCAATGTCTGCTAGAGCAATGAGTCGGGACAGGAAGCTGGAGTGAAAATGCTACATTCTACTCCCCCTTCCTACCTTCCTCACCCCACCTCTAACCGACAACAATGATGGCACCAAGAGGAGAGAAGGTCTAATTAAGTAACATTGTGTGACACCTGAATTGACCGCATTTTAGTCTACCGTAAAGTAACCCTTTGTGAGGGTTGCTGTGGAAATTTTCTTTCTCTGAACCAGTGTCCGAGTTTGGGCACTCTGCTTTTTGCCCTGTATTCGTGCTTAGGAATCCCTTCAGTTCCCTTTTCAGATGGTGCTCTCAACTTCTTCTCTCAAGGTCATTTACACAGAGGCCAGGCCACCAGTCTTGCAAACAAGTAATCCACATATTGGATCGCTCTGAACGACTAAGTCTTTTCTTGGCAGAAGATTGTTTTTCTTTTCTGTTGTGAAATCTTATCATTAAAAGCTAGTTTCTATTGTAAAACCTTTGGTTAAAAATAGGAAACTCAATATCCCAGATCCCAATCTCTTCCTGAATGGCTTTCCAGGTCTCTTGACCTTGCTGGTGGGTGCTTTCCAATTTATTCTAATAAGCTAAATGCTTTTAATAAATAGGAAAGCTCCCTGTGGGTGATTTTTACTGACCTGTCTTGGTTCTGGGAAGCCAGCTAGTTAAAAGATAAATCTTTTTCTCAGAGCCCTTCAGCTTTTTCTGTAAGTCCAACACCTTGTGGTTTTGCCTTTGGATATGTAGGAATTAGTAAATGTTGTGAGAACAATGCCGGCAGCAGAGAGAGCCCTAGTCGAGTAGTTCAGCCCACCTGTGGGAAGAATTAGCTTTACATTCTCAAAAGAAAATGGATCCATGGCGACAAGCATGGCTGTCGCTCCATGAACTAGCAACAGCGCTGGATACCTGCACAAGACAGGTCCCCTCAGTATTCCATACATGATGGGAGGGAGTCATGAGGCCCCACTCCTGCCCAAAGAGCTATGGGCAATTAGTCATTGCCTGAGAAAGGGGTGTCGTGTTTCTCAGTTGTAATATCTGCCAGTAAGGTGCCCTTGCTCAAGAAAATAGCCACCAGTTTACAACAAGCAACAACCCTAATTGAATACAGTGAATCGCATCCGCGTAAGAGACAGGAAAATAGGAGGGGACTCATGGGGACGAAGGAAGCCATTAGAGAAGATCACTAGAGGGGACAGAGTGGGATCAGAGTACATTCGGGATATGGCTGAAATTGTGAATGAATACACTAAATAAAAGAAAATCTAAGAACAATTCCCAGTCTCAGATGGGCACAAGCTAGGAGGTTAGTGTGAGCTTTAGTTGTCAGACTTAGATGGCTCTAAGCCCCCTAAGGAAAAGGTTACAGTCAGGAGGCTTCAAAAGATGAGCAAGTGTAGCTTTATCATGACTCTCCTTCAACAAGCCTGCCCATGGCATCCAAGAGTAAGGAAGATGCGGGAGCCCCTGGAGCTGCAATCCTTCCACGCCGTGCCGTTCTTTGCTGTGCTTGGGCTTCGCAGGGCTCATGTGTGAGGGGCCGGCATGGAAACGGGTGAGCAGGCAGTGATGGAAACGAACAATGGAGGAAGGCGAAGAACGTGCCTGGGGGAAACAGAGTTTTGATGTGGACCCGAATGAAAGGCTCTGTGCTGTACCCACAGAAGGTTTCTCCCATCAGGTACCGCGCCAAGACGACCTCTGCAGCGAAACAGGAAGGCTGCTTGGCGCTCGTAGAGAAATTCGCATCAAGAAGATTGTTCTCCTTCCTGTGGGAAGCATTTGGGCAGCACAATGGCATCCACATGTTTCTGTCTGACCCCACAGCAGCCGCAAAGCCGGCTAAGGCTGCGTGAGTCTCTTTCTGGTCCATGAACCCACCAGGCCACAGCTGGTCAGCTGAGCTATTTATCTAACTCCCTGCGTTCCCAGGCTCATCTGTTCGTTTTCAAGCCAGGAGTGCAAAGATGAGCAACCCGTGTGGCTGCCAGATGTTTCCATCTTTTCAGGCTTAGAGAAAGAGAGGATCTCAGGGACCAATGCTGGTCCCATTGCATGTTCCAGGGACTTTTTTATTACATAAATCCCAGCTGGAGAGACAACTCTGGAGCCAGGGGTAGGCCGTCTGGGTAGGGGTGGGAGGGGCAGGGTGGGAGGGGCAGGGTGGGAGGGGCAGCCCAGGGGTGGGTGGGAGGGGCAGCGCAGGGGTGGGTGGGAGGGGCAGCCCAGGGGTGGGTGGGAGGCCCAGCCCACCAGCCCACTGGGTTGCATTCAGAGCGATGATAAGGGTGTGTTGTTCTGGATGTTGGCTTCATCACTGACAGAAGGATATCATTAAGCAAAAGCAGTTTCTAAGCCTTTTGTCTAAGAGTAGAAGCCTATGGGAGATGCCAGGGAGATGCCCATCACTCACTGCCCATCGCTCCATCTCCTTTCTAGCAAAGAAATAAAATTAAAAGTTGGTAGATTTCACTTAGAAGTTACTTTAAAAAAAAAAAAACAAAAACAAAAAACTTTAGATAGATATTTCACAACAGTTATCTCTCTCTCTCTTCTCTCTCTCTTCTCTCTCTCTTCAAAAAGCATTTACTACTCAATGATCTAAATTATCTGATAAAGCTAGGAAGTCCTATCTGGGCACCCCAAACCGCACAACAGGAGAGTTTTCATTTGACTGGGCTCACGTGCTATGGATAGAAAACCCAGCTGACAGCAAATGAGAGGACGGTGATTCCAAAGGGGAACCCGAGGCAGCTGAGCCACTTTCTTCAAGCTATACAAGACATAAAACAGGGGTGGAGCTGAACTGCGGAATTCATATGCTAGATTTGATGTTTTTTTGTTTGATCAACCATTTTTTTTTCCTTGAGTGTTTTGTAAAAGCTAGAGTAGGGGGTTGCTAAATAAGCAATTGACTGGCCTGGAGGAAAATCTTGAAGGTAAATGAGACAAATCAAGCGGTTACTGCGGTGGCTAGAGCTAATGAACTGAATTGTTGGGTAAAGTCAGGCTCTGGCTTCCAGCCACCACCCCCCTTTTTTTCAATGAAGAAAGGCATAGAAATGGGTCATGTTGAAGAGTCGACTCATTAAAATTTCATATGAAATGATCTGAATACCCCTATTCACCCATCCCATGGAAGCTGAGGATGTTTGGCAGGGTGAAGCATCGTGACATCCCTTGTGAGAACCCAGAAGTGCCCTGATGATGCAGGAAGCTCGGAATGGGGACAACAGCTCATGGTTCTTATCAGGAGTCATAGTCAATATTTACCTAGCTCTCAAGAGGCAGAGGCAGGTAGAACTATGAGTCTGAGGCCAGCCAGGTCTACATAGTGAGTTATAGGACAGCCACAGAAAGGACTATGTTGAGAACCTATCTCAAAAAAAATATCAATGCATACGTGAGCATGTGTGTATGCACATGTGCACGTGTGTGTTATAAGCTGAACTGTGTGTCCTCACAGATAGATCAGAGCAGGGTTCTTTGGATAAATGAATGTTGTGGATTGAAAACATCTTTCCAAACTCCACATGCTTAAGTGTACATCCCCACTGTGATGGTCCCTGCAAGAGGAATATTTCAGCAGGAATCACATCCCGGGAATAAAAGCCTTGTGAAATGGCTTAGAGTGTTCATGAGCAGAGACATACCACAGGAGGGTGTGGTGGGAGAGAGAGATGGGAATGATATAAATACAGTGCTCACATATGAAATTTGCAAAAAATCACTGTTAAAAATAAGCAAGAGACTCAGCTGGTAAAGTGTTCACCTTGCAAGCAGAAGAAACCGAGTTCAGTCACCAGAACTCAAAAGACGTCAGGCATTGAGGTGCACACCCTTGCTCTCATACTGGGGAGGCTGAGGTGCGTGGATCCCTCAGGCTTGCTGGTCAGTCAATCTAGTGAACTTGGTGAATTCCACGCCAGTGAGAGATCTGTTCTAAAAGAGAAAGAAAATGGCATCTGCAGAATGGAAACCAAGGTTATCTTCTGTCCTCCACCTGTGCATGCACGCTACGACACATATGTGCACCTACACATATGAACACACACACAAAAGATATGAAAGGCATGAAGCTGCTTCTCTTTGTTATGTAAAAATATGACACAAAAGTGTCTGTGGGGAAGCCAGGAACCACAGCAGACACCAGATCAGTGCCTTGATTCGTATCTTCTCAGTCTCCAGACCTGTAAGCAACAAATGCTTTTGCTTAAACCACCCAACTTATAGTATTCTTCATATAGCAACCCAGGCTTGCTGGAAACAATAAAGCATCAAAAGTACAAGTTTTCACCTCTATTTGGGCTACCCAGAATGTAAAAGCAATGCTGCTGTTAAGATCAGAAAGACTCCTGGAAGCATAAGGACACAATCCAGCTAAAATAAACAGCAATTACAATAACACAGCTAACCAAATACTTAGAGATGCAATGTTAAATATTTATTTTAGCCTGTTTTAAATAAGTAGGGTACAGATTGTCCACATCTCAAGGGGTTTTGTTTCTTAAGAGCTTGTAAGAAAATGAAGTCTAAAAACAAGCAGTGTAGTATGTTTGTTTTTTAAAGGAAAACGCAACCAGGGCTACTGAGAATAAAACTTGATAATTCTAACCGCACTGTTTGTCTGTGGAAAGTTCTGAACTACAGTCCTGAACATAAGTATTCTCGTGTCAGTGATGGACCATATACGTGACAGTGGTCCTGTAAGATCATAAGAGAGTTGAAAATTCTATTGCCCAGTATTGCTACTGTATTTTTAATGTCTAGATGTATTCATATGCACAGATATTTACCATCGCGTTTTAGTTCTTTAAAGGATTTATATTCATAGTCGCAGCTATACATGTTTGTATTCCGGAAGCAATAAGATATGCCATGTAGCATTGGTGAATAATAAACAAGGCCATCTAGGTGTGGATGTGTACATTATGTGATGTTAACACAAGAGGGGTCACCTTCCAACGCATTTTTCAGAAGGCATCTCATCACTAAGTGGCATGCAATTATATATACAATGCGTCAGTAGAGACATTGGAAGAGTAATGTAGAGATCAGAAATTTTCCAGAAGCTATCCCTGTGATCTTTTATTTTTATTCATGTACATGTGTATCCCTGTGTGTATGCACAAGTGTATGTTTGCCGAGGCCAGCAGAGGCCAGAAGAGAGTATTGGATCCTGTGGAGCTGGGGTCCAGAAAGTTGTGAGCAGATCAGTGTGGGTGTTGGGGGATTGATCCTGGGTCTTCTGGAAGAGCAGCAAACTCCCTTAACTGCTGACTCTCTTCTCTAATCCTTCCTGTGTTCATGTAAATCTGCCAAATACACAAGAGGGACTAGCTCCTCAGGCATGCTGGACTTTCATCCCCTTCTTATTGGGCTACTCAATCACATGCACTTTGCCCATCATCTTGCTTGGTGCTTCTTCCAAGCAAGTAATTTCTCTCCGTGGACACTGTGGTACCACCCACACTGGACTGGGCCCTCCTACAGCATTATCGGTCAAGAAAATCCCCCCATCCCAGAATTGCTTACAGGCCAATCTAATGGAGGCAATCTTTAAATTGGAGTGTCTCTCTTCCCAGGTTCCTTTCCTTTGTGTCAAGCCACCAATG